GCTCGATCCAGTGCACTGCAACATGTACGTACTATGGCTTTATCTCCAACTTTCTGCACAATGTACTGGAATGTTTTGAAGAAGAAAAAAAGAAAAAAAAGAAAAAAAAAGAAAGTGATATATAAATAAAATCAGCGATTTAATGTTAGGAGTAGGACGGTAACTTTAATTCCCTGGTTTCTAAAGTCAGCTTTTTTTAAAAATTAATAAACTTAGAGTATGTAACGTCGATACCAAACCGATTATCGAGCGATGATAACTGAGTAGTTGATTCCTGGGTTGCGGAGTCATCCAGATGTTTCAGTCTTCGAATGTGGTTCTTGTTCAGTTCTGTCCATATTTCCTCGTGTTATGTTTAAAGTTTTAAGTGTCATGTTGTTCTCAAATTATTTGTTATCTAAGCTAGAACAAATTTAAACTTGAAACTATATTAAACTTGAAACTATATTAAACTTGAAACTATATTAAACTTGAAACTATGTTAAACTTGAAACTATATTAAACTTGAAACTATGTTGAACTTACTTATAAACATTATGCCTACTAAAACTCACATTCTGCCACAACTCGTTGAAAACGTTTATCTAGCTTCTCTACAGAGTTAACAATTAATAAACGTAGAATTACAGCTAGCGAGATCTGTTACATGTGTTGTTGGCATAAAGATGCCTCAAATGCGATAAATCGTTTAACTGAACCAGAGTTCTTATATTATTTTATCCGGACAAATAACAAGTACAGCAGCGATATAAGTTACAGCACCACCCAAGAACTGAGAACTAACGGGGGTAGAATGCCAACTCCAGCGTTTGATGAGGGTTTTATTGAGCCCCTTATCTCCGAGAACATGTAGTTAAGTTGTTTTTTTATCTATAAACTTTCAAACTGTTACACAAATACATCATTTTATTTCTAAGAAAATTCGCCAAATGACCAGTACATGCCTTGACAAGTGACCGAGTGTAAACAAAACACCAGTTGACCAGTAAACTGGTCTTACAATCAAACTTATTGAAGCTCAACCAATGAAGTCCAATTATCGGGTAAATTTTGTAAATGTACCAAATTTGGTGCATAAGTTTTTTTGGATACTTGGTTTATGGTAAAAATTGTGCTTTTATATACTTTTCACATCTCTTCCTATCATTCCCATAATTAATTTTACTGTCCATTTTATCAGAGAAAGAAGAGGCGTTTCTAATTAAAATTTTAAATTTGTATCAACGAAAGACAAAAATTACTCAAAGTACTCAGTCTCGCCATAAGTAACCGTGATCTCGGATACAGTCACTCCCTTGTAGACTCCTGAGATCGTAGCGTACCCGACACTTCCGTCAAAGTAAATCTTCTTAACACTGGCTGTGTAAGGAATGTCGGCTTTGTACTGAGTACCAGTGATAACAGCAGTTAGCTTGGACTTTGGCGGGAGATTCACATTCGCTTGGATGGTATCCTCATGTGTCTTGGTGGTTGTGTCACCAGTGGTGAATTCGGAGGTGGCAGAGGCACTGATCGTTATTGTCTGTCCTATCCCAATTAGAGGTGATCCAGCTGTAATTTCCATTGCGATCCCCAGTTGGATAGCTTGGCTGAATGTAAAGGAGCTCGACTCAGCGATGGAGTAGGATAAGGTCCTGGCAACAGAGCGTTCGATGTCTGAGTCGTTTTCCACGATGGTAGAACTCACCTTATCTGGGGCTGTCTGCTGTTTCTCCGCATCAAGATCATATTGCACGTTGGACATGATCATCTTCTCAACAGGCTTCTCAGCCCAGTAAGTAAGGGACTCCTTCTTCAGGAAGTAAGGATAGGTGGATAAGGAGCTGTAGCTAGCTTTGGCTCCAAACCCTCTTACTGACTGCAGGCTGCTAGAAGAAGCTCGAGCTTCAAAGATGGATACATCAGAATTTGCCCCACTTCCATGGTCCCTCCAGACGTACCCCCAGTTGCTGGATGATCCGTAAGTAGTGTAACTGCTGTCCACACAGTATACGTCTCCAAGTACAGGTTCACTGCCGGAAGTTGCAACATTTCCCAGAGCCACGTATCCACTGGGGCATTTTACTTTCCACAGCTGTACATCTTTGTCAGCTCCTGATCCTCCGTCGTTCCAGATCTTGGAGTATCCTGTCGGGGCCACGACTGAGTTGTCGTTAGCGTCTGTGGGTCTCAACAGGAACCCTATTTTGGGCTTGCTGTGTGAGGCAACAACAATATCTCCAAGAGGATAGTATCCGTCTTTAGATTCAGTCCTCCAGATCGAACAGTCAGCATCAGCTCCAGATCCAGCATCGTTCCAGATCATCTTCAGCTGTCCCATTTCGTACAAGTTCAGTGGTTTGTCCTCACCAGTAGGTAGACTCCACACATCCCTAACTTTGCTTTCGTCAGCTTTGAGGAGGTTAGCAGAAGAGGACGATGGCTTGGAGTATCCTGAGACACCGACAAACGTTCCGGCATCAAGTCCATAAGCGTCTCCGCCAGCCCTGATGATAGTCCACAAACTAAGATCAGAATTAGCACCCGAGCCCCGGTCGTTCCAAGTGTGTACTGTGTCTGCTCGTACAACATACTCGTTCTTAACACAGCAGTACTTACTGGAGTCAGGCTTGGCAGAGTGGCTGTTCACTGCAACTCCTCCAAGACAGGTGTATCCAGACGGGGCGTTCATCTTGTAGAAAGCAACATCAGAATGGGCACCACTTCCAGCATCCTTCCACACCAGAGAGAAACTGGAAGGGTTGACTAGAGCATCTGATTTCCTCTTTGAGACTAAAACTGCTTTAGAATAGGGTGAGCCATGGTGTCTAGTAACGACATCCCCAAGAGAGCAGAATTCGGACTGGTAGTTTTGAGCTCTCCACACTGCTCCGTCCATGTCAGCTTCAGAGCCTGAATCTCTCCAGATCAGTTGGTAGGCATCAGTGTACTTGTAGACTATATCCGGGTTAACTTGGTTCTGAGCTGCTGTGGCTGCTATCAGAGCTACTGCAAATAGGATCATCTTTGTTCTTCTGCAATCTGCAGTTGTGTTCTTGGAGTTGTGGCTTTGTCGAATGTGTGGTCCAAGCTTTGATCAGACTTTTTTATACCCACAAATAGGGGCGTTATCCTGGCAAAAGTATCCCTCTTTTGACAAGGTGTGAAACAGATGGTAGAGGTTATATCGGTAATTTCTATTGTTTGATAAATAAAATCCCCCGACGGTTGTTCTAGACAAGAGAAAGGTGTTGTCGGATCTCCCATTCTCCCACCTACGTGTTGTTTCAAGTATTTGCTAAAAAATTTACCATTATCGGCTAGAATGACTACAAAAGTATCAGCGGTTGACAAATATCTAACGCTTGTCAAGTAAAGATAACACCTTTCCTTTAAAGACGTTAAACTATTGTGATTCTATTAAAAGAAGTCATTGAAAAGACATAGACAAAGCTTTAAAAACTGTCGGCTGCGAATCAAGAGCTGAGACTTTGATTAACGTCATACCTCGGAACCGGTAACAAGTAGTTGTTTCCCCTCTAAATAAGTTTTACAAAGAGGAGGGCAGATGGCTCAAAGTTCTTTAGAGCATTGGTTCTTTGAACACTTATAAGAGAATTGTATTCAATAAATTGTCCTTACTTTCTTCAAATTAACTGGGACATTACAAGTCCAGAATACGTTGGTACGTAAGTTAATACTATTAAGTATGATTGGATTGAACTCAATGCTAATGGTTATGATTTTTGCAGAGAAAGCAGCACATGAAGATCAAATTTAAACTTATAGAAACAATCGACTAAAAAAGGGACCCGATAGGATTAAAGTAAACCCATTAAAACCACAAATTAGCTGACCTGGCCGGAAGAGGTCACGAAGTTTACAATTATCTGGGTCCTGAATCTAATCTTTGGAGCGGTACTGGGGTAGTCTGGTCCAGCCTCAATGTGCAGCTGGTATATTCTGTTCTCAAACGGACACCTAGGATGTCCAATGATGTGCAACTGTTCTTACTAGGTACTACATTTGAACTTGTTGCCCTGGCAACATTATTTACAATTATCACTGAGGTTTTGGACTTCGGAGGTTACAAATTAAGTCAGTAACTGAACTAGAATTCATATTCCGTTTCAACGGTGCCCAGCGTCTACTAAGAAACCATCACTTGTTCGCACATTTGACGTTAAGGTTCATACTTTTTACATGGATTCGATCATTATTTCATTCGTTTGACACAGTAAATTAACACGATAGCACTTATTGGTTGACGGTTGGCATGTCAAAACAAAGCCACCGTGTCGTTATTGTCACTTAGAAGTAATATATTAAATCTAAACTCTTCGTCCTCTTTGAACTGCCATCCTACCTACCTTCCTACCTGTCCACCTAGCTATGTCATCTAGTTACACTAGTTAAATTCAGCAGTGGTGGATGATATTCTAAGTGCATTATTTGGCTGTCATTTAAAGCTGCGTCTCGCAACAGGCAGGGTGTGATCAAGTTACTTATTGCATATTAAATTATCAATGCTGACATTTTATAGTCTAATGACTTAATGACAATAGAATCATACCGTGAGTCATGTAATAGCAAAATTACTCGCCAGGAAGGAAATATTTTCTATAATCTCTTGGTATATATGTAACTTTTGCACAATATGAATGGCCAGCGAGTTGGAGTATTCTCAAGGCAGCCACACCAAACAAATCATATATCTATAAAAACACTGCAGGAGTATGTCACCAATAGTGGTGATCACGCATACGATTGAAGCTGTAGCTCACCTTCATGATCAGCCTGAGAATATGTCCAAAAATATGCGGGTCTGCCAGCTGTGAGGCTAGCAGCACCCGCTTCATTTTCTTATTTTAAGATTACACATGAATATTCAGAATATGGTTCAGTCTTATTGTAAAATGGGTGAATCACTCCTACCTTACACACTGTATAATAGTGTAACTGTGTGTGTAACTGTATGTGTAACTACTAACTATGTATAGTGTAACTGTTTTCAATTGCAGCAATAAACCACGCGGGTTGTGACGAGAGAGAATGTGTATCTAACGACTGCACTGCAATGGAGAACCACAGAACTGAAGTTCTGAGACAAGCTGAGATTGGGTTCTTTAACGCAGTCTTCTCTTCCGCTTTCTTACCAAACGGAGAGGCTCAGAGGCAAAAAGACAAGTAAGTTAATGTACTTTCATAATAATTGACTTGCAACATCTACTTTGTTAATTCATAGAATCTAACAGGATTCTGCAATTCTTAGCAGTTGAAGAGACCGCAGGACCGCTACAGTGAGCTAACTCACAAGCCCAACTTTTAGCGTGTTCTGGGAGAGTCTAGATAACTTAGTAACCCCCGTAGTAATCTCCTAGTAACCACACTTAGTAACCTCCTAGTAACCATACTGGAGCTCACAACCCCAACTTTAAGTGTGGTCCGGGAGAGTCTAGATAACTTAGTAACCCTGGTAGTAACCTCCTAGTAACCAAACTTAGTAACCTCCTAGTAACCATACTGGAGCTAGCTCACAACCCCAACTTTCAGTGTGTTCCGGGAGAGTCTAGGAGAGCTAAGATCGGCAGCAACACTTGATCACCCTGACATACAAATCCCCGCAAAGTACCACAACGAGGCTCCCTGGTTACCTGCTCAGCGGCATCTTGCTCTTCTCCCTGCTCATAAGGTACCTTTCTCTTGCTTTTGTTGAATTATTCGAATATTATGCTCATGACATTTCTACACGATGATTGTATTAGAAAATGAGAATAACAGATGTGCATGTATCACAGAGCCCAAGTGGAAAGCTGACGTGTATAATGAACTGTGTGTTCACGATATTCAAGTTGCTGTTTGTGGGGGCTAGTGGGCTGACTATACTGGAGGGGCGTACTGACGACAGTGCTGTTCCAGGTATCTATACTTAGTAATCACCCTAGTAACCACTTAGTTACCACTTAGTTACCACTTAGTTACTATTTAGTTACCATTTAGTTACCACTTAGTAACAACTTGTAACCACTAAGTAGCCCCTTAGTAGCCCTTTAGTAGCCCCTTAGTGCCCCACTCCCGCTTAGTTTCACGGAAATTAGTTACTAGCATATCATTACTAGCATATCATCGCTGATTGCTCGATTAAATTATTTTTAAGCCACCGATTGGGGTATTTGGGGAACACATATTTGGGTAATTTACAAAATATAAATGTTAATAAATATAGTGTTTTAATGTAATGTTGATCACAGGAGCGGATGATCTGTTACCTGTCCTGATCTACGTTATAATCCACGCTAATCCTCCCAACCTCCTCTCTACTATAGACTATATAGACAACTTCACTCCTAGAGGAATCACCGGACAGGTAACCACTTAGTAACCACTTAGTAACCACTTAGTAACCACTTAGTAACCACTTAGTAACCACGTTATAATCCACGCTAATCCTCCCAACCTCCTCTCTACTATAGACTATATAGACAACTTCACTCCTAGAGGAATCACCGGACAGGTAACCACTTAGTAACCACTTAGTAACCACTTAGTAACCACTTAGTAACCACGTTATAATCCACGCTAATCCTCCCAACCTCCTCTCTACTATAGACTATATAGACAACTTCACTCCTAGAGGAATCACCGGACAGGTAACCACTTAGTAACCACTTAGTAACCACTTAGTAACCACTATAATATATATATATATATATATAGTATATATACTATAGTAGACTATATAGACAACTTCACTCCTAGAGGAATCACTGGACAGGTAAACTACTATCTTTGTAATTGTACTAGATGTGGCACTTTATCTGCTGGTCATTGTTATGAGAATTACTAGAAATTAGTTAATAAAATAATAATAATTAATGTTACAGGATCAGTACATGTTATTTAGTTAATAAAATAATAATAATTAATGTTACAGGATCAGTACATGTTATTTAGTTAATAAAATAATAATAATTAATGTTACAGGATCAGTACATGTTGATGCAGTTTAGGGGAGCTACAGAGTTCATAAAGTCCATGTTACACAAGAACCCTAGAGTAGTACGGTGAGGAGGAGCTACACAAGAACCCTAGTAACCACTTAGTAACCACTTAGTTACCACTGATAACCACTGGTAACGCTAGAGTAGTACGGCGAGGAGGAGCTACACAGTTACACAAGAATATACTTTTTACAGTCTGCACTCTATAGCATCACCTTTCTGTAGACAAACCTGTGGTCACTTCTTCTACACAGAATATTTAAGTTTACATGTGCATTAACCTGGAAACATGAACCCATTAGGTTTTTAATTCATTGAATCGTTGTCTGGTTCGATTGTATCAAATTTGTAACCTTCTGGGTTGGATTAGTGTTAGCATGTGTGTATGTAAATTGGAAAATACCTTTAGGACTTGGTTATGAGAATGCATGATTTTGTAGATCACGGTGTAATGATAAGTAAGTAGTATGTTGAAATTTGCGGAGGAAATATGTTGAGACCCCCAATTTGTTTGATACTCTGGGCTATTATTAAATTTCATGTGTTATCAAGGGTAATGTATCGTACTTCAATGTTAAGTTTTGATGATTTAAATTGAATGTGTACTTTCCTCAAAAATATGAAGCTGGATGAATTTTATTAATTTATGTTTGTGTTTGTTACCGTAATTGTTGACACTATTTTCTAACGGAGTGTATAAATTGTTGGGAGGGGACATCTCAAATTATCAGTCGATAAAAATAAAAATAATCTTCTGCGTTTTGCTTCAGCAATAAACCTGATTTAATTTAGGGACTATGCAGTTAGCTAATATGACAAAAAAGATTGTGGAATCTAGGAGTTTTTAGTAATTCACTATGTAAGACTAATGGCAATAAGAAGTTTAGTACTATACGAAGATCACCTGATCACCAACACCATTGTCCAGATGGTCGAAGTTTAACATCTTCAAAATATTTGCGAAAAAGTTCCCCTAAACACTGTTTATATGGATAATAATGTAATTGTAACATGAATTTTATTAACACTACGGCAAAAGTTAAGTAGATTTACCTTAATTCTCGAGCTTCTCTTAGTTTTTGCAACAAAGCAGTACAGAGCCTAATCTACTTAAGTAGTAGTACAGTCGTGTTGGTGTGATGTTTGTGGGGTACAGGTGCACTCCACAAGGTGCTCACAAGTAGACAGCACGTGACAACACCCTGAAAACACGTGACAACACATTTTATGTGGAGGGACGAGGTTTTATAAAAGCAGCCAACATTTCACATCAAGATCACTTCGAAATCGCACCCTACGACTACGAGTAGAATGAAAGTCCTTCTTACAACACTTTGCTTTGTGACAGTTAGTTTGGCAGCCCTTCCTGATCTTCCGAACTTCTCCGGACCTGATGAAGTTAATGAAGGAGGCGGGGAGTATGGGGGAGCTGAATCTGGAGCCTTCGGTGGCGCGCGCGAAAAGTGGCATGCAACGTATGTCAACAATTTCCCAGTCTCTGTGAAAGATACTGCTATATTGGCAAGATGCTCTGAAGTAGTTTACGTTTACATAAAATATCTTTGTATCACGCGGTGACCCCCACGGTCGCTTCACTATAGTGGGTGTCATCCGAATTGCAAGATTCGCGAGAAATCTTAGGTGCAACTGTACGAGAAGAACTCGCGTGCGCGAGATGATAGATTCAATACTTAATTGTTACCGCGTGTACGGTAGAGTTACATTTAGAAGGTTCTAGACTATTTGACGTTGAATGTTGACTTCTTCGATGATGTGATCACAATTAACAGAAAAGCTTAACCCTCAACTATTCACAATTTTTGAACTTGCAACTCTCTCTCTATCTTATTCTTACTTGCTTACTTACCCTGTAGCGTCTTCAGGGGGGGGGGGGGGGGAGCCGCGCACTTCGTGCGCGGCGGGTCATACAACGTATGACAAAAATATCTTGCTCTATCCAGAGCCCTCTCGATTGCACTTGCAGTATAAGTACCGTGGAACAAGCGCGTCACGCAGCACGCGTAGCACGTAGACTCATGGCTAGGTGAAGTAAAAACCCAAAACACGTAATGATTTTTTCCCGATCCATGACTCAAAGTGCCGAAGGCACAAAAGCTAGTCAAGGGACAAGGGTTAGCGAACGAGGTTTTTTTTGTATATGGTATGTTGCGTCCGTGCGAGCGAGCGTGCGTGCGTGCGTGCGTACGTACGTGTCGCCCACGTGTCTGCCTGCGCAAAGTTATTTTGCGCGATAATCTGAATTAAACAATTGTTGGGGCGCGGTGCTGAAATGTTCAAGTACATTGTTACGATCATATGATCAAAACACAAAACTTTGTAATGTTTTTAAAATGTTGCTAATTTCACCATGTACGCATCCCGCTAGGTACGGGACTAATTTGTAAGGGAATAATTTGGTAAGGGACTTAGGTAAGGGACTAATTTGTAATTGATAGCTAGCATAATATTATTATTTTGAGTTAGTATTATAGTTATACTATTTTTCACAGATCCGTGTCAGGTTGCATAAACAATAAACATATGGTTACATAGAAATTTAATTGACGCTGTCAATTCATGGCAGCTCGGCGCGGCACAGTAGTGCATCTCGCCGATCTAGTAACGCCGACACAGTAACGCATTGCGCTACAACATAAAAATATACACGATTTTCAAATTCAATATGGAATTATATCTATATCAACTGGGCGGCGCTCGGCCTGTCACTCCGCCGGATTTTCCTAATTCACTCGCCAGCGCGCTATGACGTGTTTTTAATGCCGTGATTTCATTGGTCACCTCTATACGGATACCGCGCATTATTTGTGACATGACATTCGAGCACAGTTTTGTTCACATAATTTGTTAACCGCTTACTGGGCCGCGCTCAGCCTGTCATTCCGCCAAATCTTTATTCGTTAATGAACATAATAGCCTGGGGTCTCAGGTAAGTCAACCGCGCGTGCAATAAACTCAATTTAAGCTCCGATTTGTGACCGAAATGGGCCATAATATGATTTAAGCAACGCATGGCCGGTAATTAGCTAATTGAATTTTAGGCATAAATTCACGAATTATTAATAACATGCAATAAAATTATTCCTGCAAGTTTTGATTCATTTAAGGTTTTATAGATCTTGTTACTCAATGACAATAGTCAAGGGTAAAATATAAGCATTAAATAAACAATATCGAATTGTTTTCAGTTTTGCATCGCGACCAGATACCACAATTTCAAGTTTGAAGTTGTTACACGGCCAAGGATAAATCTCACAATTGTTTAGATTTGTAGCTCTGTTTATCAACGGCGAGATTTTTGAAAGAGCGATTGAAATTAAGATCGATTTGCCTCTTAAACTTGTAGCGCGATGCACTACTGGGTCGCGCCGCGCATCAAATAATGATTGATTGAGGAGCACTACCCGAAGGCATTACTCGGCACTAACGCCTTAAAATCTTTAATTACAATCAAATATAAATATATGCACACAATGTATAAAATATTAATAATGTATAAAATATGATTATGCTATTAGCAAATTTAAATAGTACTATTAAGAATTTTAAATAACTCTTATCTCTTGACATAAATTTAGAACAGCGACACAGGGTCTGAAGAATGCGCGGTGATATTTTAATCTTTTAAAAGTTGTAAATGACAGTGAAATTGCGCGGTATCGATAGCATTGTAAAAATGCTCGAAGATAGTCATATTTCGTTATGAGGTTAAAGTTTTTTTGCTCGTTATTATGATCAACGTATGTTGTACCAAATTATTTAAATTTCTAAAAGTATGAAATTTGAGTTGTTCCAGTCCTTGTCATCCGGGTTAAAGTGCTTGTGCAGTAAGCACATGCTTGCTGACTGTAGACTTGAATGAATTTAGGAATTTGTCTTGTAGGCAAGTGGTGACGTATTTTATGTCCTTGTTAATAATGTTGACTGTTTTGTTATATAACTTAGGCCCAATGTAAGAAATGCTCTTGTCTGAATTACAGAAACGGTTAAATGGTACTGCAAAGAACTCAGGTTCTCTTCTAGGTGCGTTTAAGTTTGAAACAGTGAACATTCTTATAATATTTGGTGGTGCAGTGTTAGAATAAACTTTGTGCATTAAGCATAATATACATTTAGCTATCACGTTCGGTAAAGCTAATACTTCTAGTTTATTGAAAATTTCCTTTGTGTGTGAAGGTGTGCTATTCAGATCTTTGTCATAAAAATAGCGGTGGTATTGGTTATCTGCAGCGCGAATGCCCTTTTTCTGGGCCGAGAAGACTCTTTTAACGGAGTTTAGCGATCTTGTTTCCCAAACTGTGCAGCAGTAGTACAAGTGAGACTGAACAAAGCTGTTGTATATCAACTTGAGTGCTTTGTTAGGTACTGAGCCTTTGAAAAGGCTTTTCTCAAAAATCTTTGAAAAAATTATGCTGAAGTTTAAACTTCAGCACGTGACCCACCTTTGTGAAGTGGAATTACTTTCGCGATTTTCAATTTATGTGGAAACTTCCCCTGATGTAGAGACGCAGAGACTAGGCAGCTAAGCACTGGTGCAAGTATATTGCTCACTTTTTTCAGGGGAAGTATACTCATATCAGAAGTCGACTTAATCTCAGAGTTGAAAAATACGTGAGATATAAAATACGCCGTATTTAACGTTTTTTTGCTTAGAAATAAAATACGTCAAAAATACGTTAAAATACGTTTGCCTATTTTTTTCGTAATTGCATTCAAAAACTTAATAAGTTATGTCTTTCGTTCGCAATTTTTTCAGACACATCGTCATTACGGTTCAATTTCATTTATTTTGTTCCCTTGAACGGGATTGGAATTTACTTTTGGAATTGAACGCAGAAAAATATTCATATTTGTGTAGAAAATCGTCCGTAAAAAAGTTTCAATAAATACACAATTAAGAACACAATTACTCAGATGAATCGTAATCATCATTGAAATCACATTTCTCCATGTTTTGGATAAGTCGAAGGTTGGCATTAATGCCTACTAGCTTTATGGCCTTATCCGTTGCTAGTCAGTAGAATCTAATAATTCGTATTTGCACGCTTTGGTACGCTTTAGCACGTGCACAGTTCCCTTAAATCATACGCGAGGTGATAAACTACAGAGCTACGCGAGTTTTAATCAAAGTTTTAACTTGTATAATTAGAAATAGTACTTATTATTTCATTGGAGCTCTTAATGCTACAAAATCACTTGTAACGTATTTTAACGAATTTTATTCAGCGAAAATAAAATACGCCGTATTTAACGGTTTTTTGATATTTTATAAAATACGTTAAATACGTATTTTTCAACTCTGCTTAATCTTCAAACCCTTAACTATTTCAATTATTTCTGATGCGGACGAATCTTCTAGATTCATGCTCCGCTGGCATTTGCTATCTTGAGTTTCTGTTACGATAGTCCGGCCCTCAGAGCATACGAGACCATTTTCTCTCTTAAGAGTCTCAGCTATATTGCAGAAATAGTCATTGAAGCTATTCGCAATTTGCTGAGAATCTGTTATCTCGCTCCCATTATAGTTGATTTTGTTTATCTTAATTTTGCCTTTTTTCTTTCTGTTTAACAAGTTATTAACCATTTGCCATTGTTTTCTGCTGTCGCTAGAATATTTTGTAAAGTACGCGTTGTAATATTTGATTTTGGCCTTATCCACGTGTTTATTCA